GTAATGACAGTGCATGTATGAATCAGCATTTCTCCTGGAAGAGGAAAGGATTTAGATGACCCATGGTTAGTCAAAAGCAATGCATTTGTACTGTGTGACTTTGGCCCCAAACTAGATTGTTATTAGTCTGCAAATTCAGACCTGATAATCTGTGTTTCCTGAAAGGAGGAAAACTAGAGAGGATTATTTCTCTAGCTCAAAACCACATTCTCAGAAAAGATATATGATATGATTTCATTTTTAAAAATTTGTTTATACTTATTTTATGCCCTAGTACGATGTCTCTTCTAGAGAATCTTCCATGGTCTAATAAAAAAGAATGTGTATTCTGCAGCTGTGGGAGGGAATATTTTGTAAATATCTATTAGTCCTTTTGGTCTATAGTGAAGTTTAGCTCTGTTCCTTCTTTATTGATTTTTATCTGATTGACCTGGACATTGATGAAAGTGGGGAGTTGAACTCCCCCAGGATTACTGTGTTGTAGTTTCTATCTTGCTTTAGATTCACTAACATTTGTTTTATAAAATCAGGTGCCCTGGCATTGGGAATATATGCATTTACTATAGAGATATCTTCTTGGTAAATTGATCCCTAAATTATTATATAATAACCTTATTTGTCTTGTAACAGTTTTTGTCTTAAAGTCTGTTTTCTGATAACAGTATAACTACTCTTGCTAGTTTTTTTAATTTCCACTTGCATGGAACATCTTTTTCCATCCTTTCACTATGTGAAACCAGCACATGGAAGTGTTACCCGTATTTATCACAGCTCAATTCACAATAGAAAAATACAGAGCCAACCTAGATGCCAATCCACTGAGGATTGGAAAAAGAACATGTGGTATATGTACACTGTGAAATATTACTCACCCATAAAAAAGAATGAAATCCTGACATTTGTAACAAAATGGACAGAACTGGATATCATTATTCAAGGAAATAAGCCAGTTTCAGTATGGTAAATATCACATTTTCTCTTATTTGTGGTGGTTAGTATGGAGTATAAAAGTTGTGCGGATGTCAAATCATTTGTTATGTAGTTATAAATAGTTTCACTGAATTATATGATGTAAATGACAATGTACCTTTCTTTCTCCATGTTCTAATTATTATCATGAATACCTCACTTTGATATGAATATATCTGTTTTCAAGAGAAATAAAATGAAAAAAGTTCCTGACTCTAACAAGAAAAAAAATTGAAGAGAAAAGAGAACTTCATCAGTTTCATTGGTGACCTGCAAGAGCAGTGTCTGGGCGGCTGTTGACCTGCTGAGAAATGCACATTTAGCCCTCTCTGAAGTCAGCCCAAACCATAGGTTGAGAGGGACAGTAACAGTGTGCTATGCTGTGGTTCCCATTCATATGAAGAAGCAATGATAAGCAGTGCAAAATAAAAGCATCAGGACAATAAAAACAGGATGAAAGATAGAGACTTGATTCCACTGAGCATGACAAGAAATTGGAAACTAGGGGCTTCTTGCTTTTTACTTGTTAATCATATTTGATGAAGTACTAAGCCTTTTTACTGTAATATAATTTTAAAAAAATGTTATCTCAAAGACAAAGAAAAGAAGGAAAGAGGGAGGGCAGGAGGGAGAATGGTGGAGGGAGGGAAGAAAGGAATATCATTATGTTCTTAAAATTGTATCTACAAATCACATTGAATCTTTTAAAAACATTAAAATTTAAAATTTTTTAAAAATTAGAAACCAGTGATGACACCTAGGTACTAAACTGCATAGCCAAGTAACCCAATGAGGGGACTGTCTTCAGACCTCTGCTGAGTTACCACATTGGCACAGACTTGAGAAACCATGCCAGCAGAGCACAAGACCCTACCATGGGTACTGCAACTGCTTAAAGGCTGGAGTCTGCAACAATGGCAGTGTAGATAATTTCCCAGTGGGGCTTTTAGGAAAACTGTGGGAATAAATGAAATCTACCCAAATGAGAAAAAAAACAAAAGCTACTTATTCAGTTTGCTAAAGAAACGAAGTCAGCCCTATTGCTGGTGCTTGGCAGAAATTCAAAGGCAAGCAGAGAATTGGGAAGGTTTAATAGTGCAAAATAAGGAAAACTAAAGGTATGCTGTGACAATGGGGTGTTGACATGGGGAAGCAGGAGGGAATCCAGCTAGAAGTGGGACGTCTCATGTTGGCTTTGGGAGCATATTTGGCTTTCCCTAGTTGGTCCTAATGCATGTCTTACTATCTTTCAACAAAATACAAGAAAGCTGAGAGTCATTGAGTAAGTTGTGATCTTCCTGGAGCCATGGGTGTAGAGGTTTTTGTTTGGCTTCCTGGGCTGGCTGCACATGGGAGCCAGCATTCTATTATCACGATAGTCTAGCCATTGTCCATTTGTCTACTCAATCCCTTGATCTTCATTGTTAGTAATATTGTCAACAAGATACCATGACCCCAGTTTTGTTGCCAAGAAAGAAGCAAACATTGGAGCTGAGGATTTTGGAGCCTAGCCTTGGCTCTTCATTATTCTCTCTATAACAACTTGTGTAAAATCCTTGGCACATATTTTCAGATGATTAAATGCCATAAATATATTTTGAAAATCTGCCTATAAAAAAATCTCTTGAAAGGCAATACTATTTGTCCTTGTTACCCTAGAGTTTAGCCCAGGGATAAACAATCCTTTGGCAATTTTCCCTTTAAGAATCCCTTCAAAATGAAGCATGTCTTTGGCCCACTTTACTTTTTTTTCTACACATTTCCCTTATATGTTCACTATGTCATGGATTTATGTCTCTCTGTGTGGATTTTGGGGGAAAAGCATTCATATCTCTTAAAATTTGGAAGCATATTTTACTAACCCTCATTCTGTATGTCACATATAAAATTATCATCTTTTCCAGAATTTTTTTTACTTGTTTTTCAAATTATTTCAGTCTATCAAACCAGTCGTAATTCAGTGCCCAAAATTTGAGGCAATCACTCGCCTGAGACAAGGGCTCCAGCCCCTGTTTTCAATGCCCCATCATCACTGTGTGGAGCTAACTTCTCCTTTAAAACAGATCTTGAATCTATTTCTACCTCTTTAGTTTCACTGACATTTCTCTAATTTGGAGTCTCATTAAATTTCACATAGGATAATGCTGACCTGTAGACCAGCCACTTTCTGTCTGATTCAATATGACTATTATTGTCAGGCTAATTTTCCTTAAGGCTAGACCTGACGAATTCACTTTCCTGGTGAAGAACTTTATTTATTACTTTTATCATACAAAGTAAAGCCCAAACTTCCTAGCCATGTAGTATACTGTACTCTCCATCCTAATTTTCTGATGCCCCTTCTTATTTGTGAACCATTATAACTGATTCTGAGTCTATCATGTTACTGTGTATGCTGAGCTCAGCATAAGTGGTATGTATGTGGGTGTCTAATCTTACATATTGAACAGAAAGATTTGTGAGTAAAACATTTCTGACTCATTTTCTTTCTAGCATGTAGAATATTTCATGCCACATATTGAACAATAAAAACAAATATAAATATGTAGGTATAAATCATGAAAATGCCATGATTATAGCAAATTGCAAACTTTGATGAATACTATGATTGTGGCAAATACCATATGCTCTAGTGTTATAGTGATAATTTCTACAGTGAAGAATTTGAATGGAGTTTGGATTTGAGGTAAATCCTGATTGAGTTTTTGAATTTTCCATGAAAAATCAATAAAATACCACACAAAGGAGAATAATTAATATTAGGGAAGTTGTTTTAAAAATTTCTTTTGAAAGTCAAAGTTATGAAGAGAGAGAGACAAAGAGAGAGAGAGAGAGATCTTTTATCTATTGGTTCAGTCCACAGGTGGCCTCAATGGCTAGTCCTGGGCCAGGCTGAAGCCAGGAGCCTGAAGCTTCATCCAGGTCTCCTACTTGAATGCAGGGGTCCAAGCATTTGGGCCATCTTCTGCTGCTTTCCCAGGCCATTACTAAGGAGCTATGTTGGAAGTGGTGTAGCCGGTACACAAACCTGCACCCATATAGGATGCTGGCATCACAGTCACTGGCTTTACCTGCTGCACCACACTGCTGGCCCCAGAAAAGGTTTTGTTTGATAAGCAGCTATGATGAGAATCTGTCTCTAGTTCTATAATAGAGGGTCTTGGGTATCGTTGGAATGAATCCCTATTTCTTCCTTTTTCATTTCTTTCCTTCTGAAGTGTCAAAAGGCAGAGAGGAAAAAAAAATCAATGCTGTGAAAATTCAGTGTCATGATAATTTTAACATGATTTAAATTTACATATTTTACACTAAATGTGATAAACAGTCACATGAAAGTTTGAAATTACTATGAAAGTAAGGGCATTGTTTGCCTTTCTAACAATTCTCAGTTTCTGTTGTATGCTGGAAGCCATCACTCTGCTTTGTAATGAATTTGAACACTACTGGCTCCAGGGAGATAGGAGAAGCCAGTTCAATCAATATCTGGAGAGGAAGCTCTTCGTAAAACAAAACTCACAGCTGTGATATCTGGGATTGTATTTCCATCTTGGGAATTTTAAAATAGTGGAATCACATTCCTGGAAATGTGGAATCAGCTATGACCCACATGAACCTAGCCAGTATTTACCAAGGTTGCTCTGCTTATTTTATGAGAATGTGGTCACTTTTCCTAAGAACTAGTTCTGAGCCAGGTAATTTGAAATCATTGGGATTGATTCTCAAATTTTCCCCAAGAGAGGTCAAGTGATGGAGTTTATCAAGGAAGAAAAACCTCTCTTGGTTTCTGACAACCAATGCATACTGTGCTGTTTACTGCCATACCTCTGTGTGGTACTTCATTCCTGACAGCATTGCCTCAATGGTATTTCATAATAGCCTGGAACAGAAAGATGTACATACCTTAATGATGCCTTGCCATCCTGGCCTGGATCAGAAAATACACTGGCATTAATTTAACTTGTCTAGGTATTTTTGAGATTCCAAAGAAAGGATGAAATTCAGATGAAGTGCGTTTTTTTTTCTTTTTATAGGGTCCCTGGCTCCCTGAGAAAGGATAAAATTCAGATGAACTGCTTCTCTTTTATTAGATAGTCCCTGGCTACTCCATTCGGCAAGGTTTGCCTCACTTACAGGATGTTAATCACATCTCACCTGGAAGTCACTACCTGTCCAACCTCCTCACTAAGTCTCTTCCAGGTAGAATTCTGCATTAAGACTGTGACAATACCAGTACCCAATTCTACTTGGGATAAGATTGGCATTCCCTATGTTTTCTATGCATGGGTTAACAAATATTGATTCTTAAGATTCCTCCCCCAGTTCTCCAAGCTGTCTTTTATATTGATATAATATATCTGATCATATATTTTTGGTGTGCATTTTCAGAGTAGTGTCATCAATTTTATATGCTTAACTGAATATTCTAAAGCACCTGTCTTGATGGTCTGTCTTCACTTCATGAATGTCCATAACTGAGCTCTCTTTCCTCTCATTGATAGATGCTTCAGGCTGCTTTGTTGGGAATGCCTGTGTTTAAGGAGGTCCAAGGGCATGAACAAGCCTCAGAGGTGAAATGCAGTAATGGACCAATAATTGCAACTGATTAAGAAAACAGATTTTCAGCCTTTAGTGGGATAAGGTGGAGTATTGTTACTGCAATGTTTACCTGGGAATCTAAATATGGTTTTGTACTGATTGGTGATTATCATTTTTAGGTCTCCATAATCTTACATCTTAATGTGCTGGTATATGAACAGTCTGATAATACTCTGAAATAGTCCCATTAATTCCATTAACGTTTTGCCCGTTTTCACAAGACAGGTCAGTGTGTGCAGTGTACTTAAATTTTTATTTTTTAAAAAGGCTACATAATCTAGTATGTATAAGAGAGAGGAGTTATCAAATTAATGAGATGGAAGCAACATTTATTTTAATAGATTTGCACTTATTATTGTATGAACCCTTATCTAAAGGATGGAACAATTCATTAAAAGCCAATATGGCAAATTCGATTCTTTCATGGTAGAGATGTTAAAAAATAGTTTTAAAGACAGTACATTATCTTATAGTTGCTTGGAATTAACTTTATTTCCAAGGCATCCAAGTTTTAATCCTCACTAGAATCCTTATTGTTGATCCTTTCCTGCAATTTCTTCCTATCTTATTTTTTTATCTTTCCTGAAAATAGACAAATATATATTTTCATTTCAGGCACATTTGCAAAGTAATTTGAAGCAAAACAAACACAAAAGTAAATAGCATGAAGCAAATTATTATTATTCTCAACACTTATCAACAGATATCAAAATTGCAAGTATTTCAATGGTAGCATGTTTTGTCATGGAACAATAAAGTGAGCACTGCACTAGAGATTTATTCCATTTATTCCCTGTCAATAGCTATCTGGATACAAGTTCCAGTCATTACATCTATCTGCGCTTCAGTTCTCCTGTCAACAAAAGAATGGCTTTAGATTATTGTGAAGGCAAATGTTACATCCACTAATCACTAAGTGTGTTGTTTGCGTCCTGATGTGTGTATTTGTTTTAATAAAAATGTCAGAGGTGATAGCAAAAAATGTCACCACGTTATGCCATTGGATGGATGAATATTTCTTAGAAAGCTTCAACTTGTTTTTGAAATCATGAAGGAAAAAACACATTTTAAACAAATACGTGAGAAATATTTCTCTTTAGAGATAATGAAAATTTGCTGTTTAAGGAACATTTTCAAACGTCAGAAACATTTCTGAAAGTTGTTCTAAGTACCTCTCATACAACTCTGATCAATTGCCATTGGGTTATTTCTTCTTAATAGAGATTATAGGATTTAAAGTTTTTCCCTGCCAATATTATTTAAGGTAAAATTCCAATGCTGCTAATGTTTACAAACTTTTGTAAAGGAAAATCAAGATTTAGGTAATTCACAGAAAATGACAAGATTCCAGTTTGTGATTTGTGTGAATGATGTTAATTTTAAGAAGCATAGGGGTTCAAATAACACAAAACTTACACAAGAAGAATTTTTTCCTTCAAGGAAGTCGAATTAGCTTTATTTAGCTGATTTCCCCTTTGATACCCACTTGGTTGGGAACAGGATCATGCTCAGCATCCCTTTCACAGTAAGGGAGCATGGAGACCTGGGCGCCAAGGTCCACTGCCAGAGAAAAGGGAATCTGCTGGCAAACAGCCCCCGGCAGAAATGCCAGAGCCCTGACGGGCTGAGGCTCTCGGGTGCCCAGACCAAATTCTCTCACAGGACACTCTGCACAAGAGGCTTTTGGGGGTGACGCTCCTAGTGAAAGAAACAAACATGTATCTCACACCCAAGCGTGCAACAGAAAAACAGCTCTACATCACCCTCAACTCAGGTTTCTCCCCAAAAGAGGCACAAAGAAAACTCTAAAAAAAAATCTAAGTTTTACACTCTTGTGGATAGTTTTTTTTTTTAACTTCCCCCGATTCTTTCTTTTGAAGTATCACTTAAAAAATACCTTTGAGAAGAATATTTATAAGGTTTGGATTTGAATACAATTACTGAGAAAATTAACTACATACTTGAAATGATGGAGGTTTCTACACTTAAATCTTTTCCAGAAGATTGGTGTAAAACATGTATTTCCAAAAAGAGAACATTTCTCATTATAGCATCCTTAGAGAAAACCATGGATTGAGGCTGGTTTTTCACAGAGGAGGAAAGATCAATTAACTTGTAATCACTTGAAGCCGCCTAACTTGTGGAAGGCTCAAGTGGGCACCTCTTTCTGCCTCAAACAATTGATACCTGTTTTTGAGTTGAAACAAAAGATTTGTTGGTTTCTATAGATGCCTGTTAGTCACTTAGAGACTGCCCACCCTGAGCAGTCCTACAGCCCAGCAATGCAGCAATGGCATGTTTTGTAGGTATTCTGTTGGGTACTTCTTACTAATAATATTCCAGAAATGGCAAGATGTTTTGAAGTACCTCTTTCTATAATATTTTCAAAATATGATATGTATTACTGTTTTTAAAAATGTGAATTATTGGGGCTGGTGCTGTGGTGTAGCAGGGAAAGCTGCCACCTATGGTGCCAGCATCCCATATGGGCACTGGTTCGAGTCTCCGCTGCTCCACTTCCCATCCAGCTCTCTGCTGTGGCTGGGAAAGCAGTAGAAGATGGCCCAAGTCCTTGGGCCCCTGCACCCGTGTCAAGATCCAAAGGAAGCTTCTGGCTCTGGCTTCAGATCTGCACAGCTCCGGCCGTTGCAGCCATCTGGGGAGTGAACCAGTGGATGGAAGACCTCTCTCTCTCTGCCTCTGCTTCTCTTTAACTCTGCCTTTCAAATAAATAAATAAGATCTTTAAAAAATGTGAATTATTTCTTTTCCTTTAAAATTTAAGATTTCACTTTCCATCAGCTCATTCATCAGAATTCTATACTCATATTTTTATTTCTTTCTTTTTCTTTTTTTTTTTTTAGAAGAGAACTTCTTTGTATCACTTCTTTTTTTTTTTTTTTAATTTTTGACAGGCAGAGTGGACAGTGAGAGAGAGACAGAGAGAAAGGTCTTCCTTTTGCCGTTGGTTCACCCTCCAATGGCTGCCGTGGCCGGCGCGCTGCGGCCAGCGCATCACGCTGATCCGAAGCCAGGAGCCAGGTGCTTCTCCTGGTCTTCCATGTGGGTGCAGGGCCCAAGGACCTGGGCCATCCTCCACTGCCTTCCCGGGCCATAGCAGAGAGCTGGCCTGGAAGAGAGGCAACCGGGACAGAATACGGCGCCGCGACCAGGACTAGAACCCGGTGTGGCGGTGCTACAAGGCGGAGGATTAGCCCATTGAGCCACGGCGCCGGTCTCATATTTTTATTTCTATAATGACTATTGTATTGTTAGTAAAATCTTTCCTTTGTTAAAACAATAATACTGGTCTTTGGGTTTGTTATACCATTTTAATCTGAAAGAGTAATAGAATATCATGTTTTAGAATTAGAATGTCTTTGTAGATGGTGTTACTGCCTCAGCATTTCATTTTTTAAAAAACCCTTAGGCTAATTTTAATATAATTATGCACATTTTTAGACAATTAATGAGTGGTCCATAAAATAATAGATTATGGAGACAAACCACCACTTTGGAGACAGCATGACTGAAGCTTGTATAGTAAATTTTCCTTCAGAAACACCTACAGACATAATATTCTGTTGCCTTTCAATGTGGCTTCCAACTGATTGCAATTGTTTTAATTGCTATTCTAGAAACCAGTGAAACTTCCTTCTAGTGAGTTCCACATCAATTTGATGTTCCCACATCATCACCAATTCTATGGTACACATGGCAAGGTAATCATTTTTAACTTTCTAAGAGTGGTATGATGTTGATTAATGATTCATAACAAATCTTATAATATTTTCTTTCAGATGAAAAGTCCACATATGACAAATGGAAAAGAATACATGGATATCTATCTTATTTCACAATAATTTTGTTCATTTGTTTCTTTTCATGGGGAAAATCAAAATAGCCTGTAAATTAAAAATCAAACTAGAGGCTTATGAAGCCAATAAAATCAAATAAATTGGCCAGAACTATTTTTTAAAGTCTGAGCCTTTTATGTGCACTTGGCCTTCACTATTATTTTGGGGTATCTGTAAAAGGAAAGTAAAATATTTAAGAAGTATAGTTTTTCACTGTTTCAAGAATATTTACATGGCTAGAAAAACTAAACATAAAGAAGTACTAAAGCAGTTACATGGTTTGTAAGTTTTTGAGCATTTGAGACACTTGAATTCCTACAGAAAAGGGCATGAATATGTCACTCAGGATGGATACACTTGCAAGGCATCATTAGGGGACAGATGACAAGGGATTCTTAAAAGTACTTTATATACTCGGTTGCCCCTCTTCCAGGCCAGCTCTCTGCTATGGCCAGGGAGTGCAGCGGAGGATGGCCCAAGTGCTTGGGCCCTGCACCCCATGGGAGACCAGGATAAGCAGCTGGCTCCTGCCTTTGGATAGGCGCGGTGCGCCGGCCGCAGTGCGCTGGCCGCAGCGGCCATTGGAGGGTGAACCAACAGCAAAGGAACACCTTTC